CCTTGAACTCACAGAGATCCTCCTGCCTCTGCCTCCCAAGTGCTGGGACTACAGGCCCACCACACCCGGTTTTAAAATTTATTTTTTTATGTGTAAGAGCAGCCAGTGATCTTAACCTCTGAGACATCTCTGCAACCCAAAATAAAATTCTAAAAAAAAATCTTAGCACTGGGGTTGGAGAGATAGCTCAGTGGTTAAGAACACTGGCTGTACTTGCAGAAGACCTGGGTTTGAATTCCAGCACCCACATGGTGTCTAACTACCACACGTAACTACACTTCCAGGGGTTCTGAGGCCTCCTTCTGGCTTCCTTGGGTACTGCACAACACAGGTGCACTTACATACCTGCAGGCATAACAATCAAACACATAAAATAAAAATAAGTTTTAAAAAAGCTTAGCATTTCTTTGTTTTTATTCTTTTCAGGTAAAGATTTTAATGAATTCCATGAAGAATTTAATAAATGCATTTGTGCCAAGTGGAAAAATAATGCAGATTGTGGATCAAAAGTTGGTAAGAAATACTTCACATGATGAAATTTTTAAAATGCTTTTTTATTTATTTTTATTTTATGTGTATGAATGTTTTGCCTACATGTATCTTAAGTCTTGCACCTGTGTCGTGCAGTGCCCACAGAGGATAGAAGGGGGTGTCAGATCCTCTGGAACTAGAGTTACAGATGGTTGTTAGCTGCCATGTGAGTACTGGGAACTGAACCCAGGTCCTCTCCAAGGTCAGCTAGTGCTCTCAACCCCTGAACCATCTCTCCAGAACTTCTACAGTGAACTTTATACATATATAAGCATGTACATAGAGAGCTTAAAAATATGCTTGGGATTTGTTTAAAAGACTAAGTCGCCGGGCGTGGTGGCACACGCCTTTAATCCCAGCACTCGGGAGGCAGAGGCAGGTGGATCTCTGAGTTCAAGGCCAGCCTGGTCTACATAGTGAGTTCCAGGACAGCTCGGACTACAGGGAGACCCTGTCTCAAAAAGACCAAAAAAAAAAGACTAAGTCAATGACCTTGTCTCATGGGACTGTTTGCATTTATTCTAAATCATTGCCAAAACTTGAGAGGGCCTTCCATTTTTGGAATTGGTAATATTAGAGCAGCAGGACACAAAGCACGACATACTGTGGAAGCTACTGATGTGTATACTGTTTCACAAAGCAATGGGAAAGTACAAAGATTTTATCAGGAGTATGTAATTTCTTGCTCTTAAAATTAGGTGTGCAGGTACACAGTTGAAAACCTGAATTTTACTGTGTGTGTAGCTCAGTGGTACAGGGCCATGCTTATCATGCGAAAAGCCCCAGGTTTTATTGCAAAGTACCAGAAAGGAAGAGAAAAACTTTTTTTTTTAAAGTACTTTCCCCCAAGTAGCTCAGGAAGCTCAGAGATTTCTCTGTGTATGATAAAATGACATGTTCAGCCTTGACATGTATTCTATGAAGACCCTTAGTACCCATGACCCTTGAAACTCAGTTGCTTTGAATGTTTGTTGTGGCTGGAAAATCACTGAACCCTCAGTTCCCCTACCCCGTAGTCATGCAGGAAGACTCTGTTTTCAGACCCATTTTAATTTAGGTGGGACCAATGAACTGTCTAGGGACTATCCCAGGACCTCCCAAGGGATCTCATCACCCCCTGCTGTAGGATGCAGGTCATGGAGAGATCTCCAAGACCCAGGGAATATTTGAGGGTTGAATCCCTTTTTGTTGTAGGAGCTGTTGTGTGTATTTTAGGATATTTAGCTACATACCTGACCTCTACCCACTACTTACTGGCAGTACTCCTCCTTCAGTTACTACAACTTAAGAGTTTCATGAAACATGTCAAATCTCTTCTGTAATACAGAACTGCCCTAGTTGGGAACATTGTGCTTGAGGCTGGATGGTCCAAGCACCCCTTCCCTACGACCCTTGCACCTGCCAGCCACCAAGCCTCTTAGTTACATTTCTGTTCTCACCTCTTTGCCAAAGCTGTCATGTTGTTAAACTTACCAGACTCCCCCAAAATAAAAGTGGGTAGGAGCAAAAGAGGAATGGGCCTTCAAATCCCCACATCCCTAAATTCCTTTGTTCGGTCAGTAGGGAAGCAACGTTGCAGTTTTTGATGCCATGGTTTAGAATCAAGTGTCATTGGATTTTAAGGCTACATGAGTTATGCATCTGTGAAACTTCAGTTTTCTCATTGGAGCGAATACTACTAATACATATTGCATTTGATAGTTGAGGCTAAATGACTTACTGCTCTGTGGGAAGCATCATGCTTGGATGCAGTCGGTGTTTAGCACGTCATTAAGTCATATTAAATTGCCTGGAACACTTTTCTTATGCAATGCTTTGAATTCATAGGGAAACCTATAATAAGTTTAGTTGGATCACCTTACGTAGGTGGTGAAAATAGGACTTGTTGGGGCAGCTACATGACTTAGTGCCAAGCTGATGACTTGAGTTCTATCCCCAGAACCTACATGGTGAAAAGGAATGAACCAACACGTGTAAGTTGTCATCCCACCTCCATATGTGTACTGTACATGTGTATGTACACATACATATAATAAATATAAAAAAGGAAAGAAAAATGGGACTTGACAACTTTACATTTTCTCAGCAGGAGGATGTGAACTTAAAATTGTGCTCTCAGTGTTAGTGACTGTTTGCAGTTGAGAATGAAATATAATATCCAGCATTGAAATTGCTCATCTGTTGTTTTCTAACAGAATGCAACTAATGCATCGTAGGTCGAGATCACCCATTAACTATGACAAAAGGTTTTGTGAGGCAGTAGAATATTGTGAGTCTGCTGTGAGTACCGCCAATGGATTCTTGAATTGAGCAGAGTTGCTTGTTAATGATGATCTGGATTATGGACCACATTAAGTCCATTAGGTACCATTCCAGGCCCTCTTCTCTCCAGAGACTGAGGGAGGAAAAAAAAAAATTAGGACTCATACATTCTTAGCATTATATGGAAGCTTTTAAAAATATGTGATGTAAAATGCTTTAAAAATAACCTATCAGCTATTATGGTAGCAGTATCTATAAAATTGTTATGGTTAAAGAACCAGATCTCAAAGCATACTTTGAGGTTAAGTGGTCATTAATTTATTTCTTTTCAGCCTGATCTACTTGGCAACATTCCTGGTCCTTATGAAGAGGAAATGAAGGGAATTGCAGATGTTACTGAAATACCTTTAGGTAAAATGCACTTTGTAATATTTAAAACATTTAATAAAGGGTTGGAGAGATGGCTCAGCAGTTAAGAGCACTGGCTGCTCTTGCAGAGGACCCAGGTTCGATTCCCAGCACCCACATGGCATCTACAAACCATCCTTAACTCCAGTACCAAGGGAATCCAAAGCCCTCTTCTGACCTCTGGGGCATTCATTGCATGACATGGGTGCACTCAAGATAATACACTCATACACAGAAAATAAAGATAAATAAAATATTTTTAATTCAAAATAAATAAAAACATTTAATAAAATATGACGATGTATTAGTATGATACCTCACATAAAGCACACAAATCTTAAGTACAGCTAAATGAAGGATTAAAATACGCCCATGCATGCACTCATACATAACTCCCATTAAGATCAAGGCAATATCAGTATTCCAAGAATGCTTCATAGTGCTCATTCACAACTGCTCTGACTTCACCATACATTAATTGCCTCTTGAATTTGTTGAAAATAAAATTGAACATCTGAATTGCTGTGTGTTTTCTTATACTTATCATTATAGTAGGTTATTATTTGGTTTTCTGATTTTGAGCATTAAGAATGAGAATTTAAGGGCCAGGCATGGTGACAAACACCTTTAAGGCAAACAAAAAAGAAAGAAAAGGAAAGAAAATATGAATTGATGTGCATGAACATGAATTCTTGTACTTTTTTTTTTTTTTTTTTGGTCTTTTTGAGACAGGGTCTCCTTGTAGCCCCAGCTGGCCTGGAACTCACTCTGTAGACCAAGCTAGCCTTGAACTCACAGAGATCTGCTTGCCTCTGCCTCCCAAGTGCTGGGATTAAAGGCATGCACTACCATACCTGGCCTTGTACATGATTTTTTAATGTACATATACACTCGTTTCTCTTGGATATTTACCTCAGAAACTGTTGAGTCATAAGGTAGCTGTATACTTGTCCTTGTAAATTCTACAGAACTGTTTTCTAAAGTGAGCATATTTATTGACAGCATTGTATGAGAATTATAATTTTCTCTACTTGATATTGCATTTCCATGGTGTGTAGAGATCACTTTTTCAGCTTGATGTTTTTCTTTATTCCTTCATTTGCAGAGGGTAAAGTCTGTTAAGGTATCTTGCCCACTTTGTATTCTTTGAAAGGAATTCTCTAATCTGGATATAAGTACTTTGTCAGATATAATTCAAGAAATTTTTCTCCCAGTCTGTAGCTTGCATTTTTTTTTATTTTCTTGATATTTGTTTGTGAGCGGGAATTCTTAATTTTAATCTTCAAATTCACAGTCATTCTGCCTCAACCTCCTGAGTGCTATAATTACAGTCATGTACCATCAAATATTTCTATAAACCTGTGATTTATCTTCAAGTAACTTTTTTTATATGGTATGAGTTAGGGGTCAAGGTTTAGGGTATTTTTTTTTATCATATATTTCCAACTAATTAAGCACCATTACTAAAAAAGACTATCCTTCCCTCAGTAAATCAAGTGGTTGTTATATAAGTCAGGTGGTTGTATGTACCCAATTCTATTCGTGAGCTTTCTGTTGTTTAGTTTATCTCTTGTCAATCCCATGCTACCTGTTACTACAGCTTTACCATAGGTTTTTCACAGCTGGCCATCTGGCTCTTACCTTCTCTTGGCTGTGCTGCTCTTTTGCATTCCCATATGCTTTAGAAACAGCCTGTCAACTTTGACAGTCTACTGATAATCCGTATATCCTTGAATATATTTTAATCTCAACCTTTATTTAGGTATTGATTTCCCAGTGACTTTTGGATGGGGGAGGAAATGTTTTGTGTATTATTAATTAAATTATCCTTATATAGTGATAATTTGAGGAAGTTATTTACATTTTCTGTCTTTTTTTCCCCCCCGAGACAAAGTCTTATTACTGTGTAGCCAGGCTGGCCTCAAACTCATGATCCTCCTGCTCTTGCCTCACAGATGATGGGATTACAGGCATGCATGACTTTTCCCAGCTTTTGGAAGCTATTTTAGCTTTAGTTTCTAGTTGGTATCATTTATAGAAAAAGATTGTTCCCACTATCCCAAAAGCTTTATGTTTAAGTTATTAAAACAAATAAGTGAGCTGTTTATTGTAACAAGTGGTACTTTGCTTTCACAAGAAAACTGATTGAAAGTTTCTGTTATTTCCCAACACTGGTGACTAGTTTTTGTTTGTTTTGCTTCATAAAAATGATTTTAAAAGGACTGGTGAGATGGCTCCGCAGGTAAAGATGCTTGTTGATAAATATGACATCAAGAGTTCAATCCCTGAGACCCACATGCTAGAGAGAGAGAGAGAGAGAGAGAGAGAGAGAGAGAGAGAGAGAGAGAGAACCACCTCCCACAAGTTCTCTGATCTCAACATACTCATGTGCTGTGGCATGTGTCCCACTCCAATAAATAAATTTAAAATAGCATACTAACTTAAAGAAAACATACAGAAAAATATACTTGTAGTTTATATGAGAAGCAAATCTTTTCTTGTATAAAGAGCTCTATCATATTTCTGTGTCTAGAGATATAAAAATCTCTAGAGAAAAATGGATTAAGAAGAATAACAGATAACTCATAATAAAAATAAGAGGAGTCACCAAAACAGAAATTAAATATAAAATAACATTAGGGTAAGTACCAAATGGTATTATGAAGAGTTGGACAACTCCAACTTTTTATTTATTTATTTATTTATTTATTTATTGCTTTTTGAGACAGGGTTTCCCTAGTGTCTCAGCTGGCCTGGAACCTGCTATATAGACCAGGCTGACCTTGAACTTACAGATCCACCAGCCTCTGCCTCCCAAGTGCTAGGACTAAAGGTGTGCGCCACCATGCCCTGCTGACAGCTCTAATTTTTTTTTTTTTAACAGTTTTTGGTTCTCCTTATACATGGTTAGTAATGTAAAAATCTGGACAAATTTTTCAGCGTACAGGCAAAAGATATTGTATATTAACTCAATATTTATTTGACCTAACCAAAGAAAATCTAAAACAAAGGATACTGATGGAAAACTTGGACATTATGTTACAGCACAGTTCCAACCTACCCAGATGTTTCACTTGCTGAATTGCTACCTGTCTGAGGACTTGTTTATTCTCTGTAGATCCAGATGAGTGATGCTGGCAGCAGCCAGGTGTTCAGAACCGTGCACATTGACCTGTAACACTGACATGCAGCTCTTGTGAATATGCCTCCACACATAGTGAAGAGAGCTAGACTTTATTATTTGTGTGTGTGTGTGTGTGTGTGTGTGTGTGTGTGTGTGTGTGTGTTGGGGCCAGGGGAGGCCTGCACAGGTGTGGCTCCTGTATGAAAGTCAGAAGACAACTCCGTGAACCTCTCTATATTCACCTTATGTGGGTTCTGAGGATTGAATTCAGGGTCAGGTTTGTGCAACAAGCACTTTTACTCACTGAGCCATCTTGCCAGCCCAAGATAATTAAACTTTCTTAGAACAGATTTTTCAGGGTTGTGGTGTAGCCAGTGGAAATATGCATGAGACCCTTGGTTTACCACCAGAAACAAAACATTTTTCTTACACTGTCATTGTTCTGTGTATTAACAAAACCTTTCCCTGTTTTTCTCATAGGAGAGATTATTTCGTTCAACATTTTTTATGAACTTTTTACCATGTGTACATCAATAATAACTGAAGACAAAGAAGGTAATCTTTGCTGGAGGGAGCATGGCAGTGTAGACCACAGAACAAGCAAAAGTATTTTTATACATAGTATTAACTTACAATCTAGGCTTACTATTTAAATTGTGTGTGTGTGTGTGTGTGTGTGTGTGTGTGTGTGTGTATGTGTTGCATATAGTTTAATATATCTTGGTAAGTTTTTATAAGTGCCTTGAAAACCAGCCTTATTTTAAGAGCATTGAAATGCTTATTAAAGTTTGGTTCAGGCATATAGAAGACTTGGAAGAAGTGTTCCAAAACTAGAAGTGTCCCTGCTCTCTGCAGTCTTGTCTAGCCCCATCTGTATCATTTGGTAGAAGTCCTCACAGTGATACATACTTCTTTACCTTCACATAGGTGATAACAGGCAGTTTTCTAGAGACCCAGAACAAATACCCCCAGCAATTTCCCAGCCCCCAAATGTATAGCAGCCTCACTTTTCCTTATGTTCCTGGCTGGTCCCTAAGATAAAAGGCACAAGTATTTGCCCTTGATTCACTCTAACTTTTGACCTGTATTCTGGATATAAAATTGGCTGACACCTAGGCTGGAGAGCTTGCGCGGCCATTAAAAAAGCTTAGGCTCACAGCCAAATAGACAAAATCAGCCTGTATCTAATCTTCAAGGTGTCCATGAAGCAGAAGTCAAGATGTCTGTGTCCTAGTAGAACTGTCTTGCACTTGACCAAGGAATAACCATTAATCCTGTTCCTATATTCTGATCTTACCTAGAGCCCCTGTGTTCTCAGATGTTAAGGGGTATTGTGCCAATGTGCCATCAATACCAGTGTGATTCTTTAAGGCTTATGTTGTCAGGCTTCTTAGTTATTACTGTTAGATGAAACAATTGTGAATATAAATGTGTATAAATATAAATATAAATGTATGTAAGTATTGATACCTGTCTATGTCCATCTGTGACTGAGAATTCATTGTACTTTAACTATGGCTACTTGTCTCCTGCTTACTAATAGGTCATCTACTACACGCAAGAAACATGGATTTTGGAATATTTCTTGGGTAAGTAAACAACTCAACTGTTATCACTCCATAAGAAGTATAGATTTTAGGGGCTGGAGAGATGGCTCAGCGGTTGAGAGCACTGACTGCTCTTGCAGAGGACCCAGGTTCGATTCCCAGCACCCACAGGGTGGCTATGAACTGTCCTTAACTCCAGTTCCAGGGGAATCCAATGCCCTCTTCTGACCTCCACGGCATTGCACGACAGGGGTGCACTCACATACATGCACGCAATACATTCATATACATCGGGTGGAAATAATAAAATATTTTTTTAAAGTATAGATTTTAATATTACCTTGATGAAAAGTAGGTCCTGCCTCATGACTAGAATATGATTGTAAATGAAAGTGGCTGGATTCCTCAGTGATAGAAGGACAGGCACACTTGGCAGACCTCCTCAGTTATTTAGGATATGTATCTCAGAAGTAGCACCTAGTGAACAGATATTGGGACCATGCTTGAAGGAATCATCTTGACCTTTATGAAAAAGATAATGACTTTGTAATTAGAAGTCTACATTTGAACTTGGGGCGCACTTTTTATGTAGCCTGATATCAGAGTTAATCGAATTCTCTGAGCCTCAGTTTTATCATCTGGAAAAGGGATGGAACCACCCTGTGTTGGATGAAGAAAAGTTTATCTGGCTCATAGTTGAGAGGTTTCAGTCTATGGTCAACTGGCTCTGCTACTTTTAAAGACTGGTAAGGCAGAAAGAATATCATGATGGTAGGAACATGTATCAGAGAAGGCTCCTTACTTCATGGCAGCCAGGAATCAAAAGTAAAATGAGGAATGGGCCAAAGACAAGATACAACCCTCCAGGACACCTCCAGTGCCTTGCTTCCTTCACGTAGAACCCGCCTAAATTTGCATCATCTACCAGTAGTCCATCAAATTATGAACCTAACTCAGAACTTTCATAATCTAGTCACTTCCCAAAGCTCCACTTCTGAGCATTAGTGCCCTGGGATCAGGCCTTTAACACCCTGAGCCTTGGGGAATATTTCAGAACCAAACCACAGCACACCGTATTGCAAAGGCCATGCGTTAGGATCGATCGTGAGTGATCAGGTAGAAAAAGCACATATAAGCCAGACATGGTACTTCAGGGCAGTTATCCCAGTACTTAGAAGGCTGAAGCAGAAGATTTCAAGTTTGAAGCCAACCTGGCAAGAACCTGTCACAAACATTGCCCTTTAATGTTACTGAAATTTGTCTTTTGTAGGTGGAATATAAATAACAACACCTGGGTTGTAACAGAAGAACTAAAGCCTTTAACAGTGAATTTGGACTTTCAAAGAAACAATAAGACTGTTTTCAAGGCTACAAGCTTTGCTGGATATGTGGGCATGTTAACAGGATTTAAACCAGTAAGAAGTCTATTGTTAAATAACTTCACCAGTCATTTTGTGTGCCCTGGGTTTACTATCTATGAAAGTTAGAGTCTAAGAAAATGAGGACATAAAAAGAATATGAAGCCAGCATGGTGGTGCATGACTTTAATCCAGCACACAAGAGGCCAGCTTTGTCTGTATGGCATGTTCTAGGCCAGCGAGGGATACTTACAGACCCTGTCTCAAACAAACAAAGAAAGAGTTGAAGCCCCACTTCACCCCCTTGTTCTTATCTCTGTTATCAGTGTGGAACCCCACATCACAAGAGAACAGAATGAAAATGCTTTTTGTGCCTGTTTTAGGATGAAGAGCATGTCAGAGTCAAGGAGCAAACATTTGGGGTCTGGCCTGGACTTGCTGCTCACTGAAGCAAGTTGTGATAGATTCAAGGCATGAAGTCTGCTCTTCATTTCTTGTCCAAAAAGTGTGGCCAGTAATTTCCCACTTAATTTATTTCACACAGTAAATGTGAAAATACTTTGAACTTCAAAAAAAAAAAACCTTTTTGGAATAAATGATATTACCGTGGTTTTGGAAAAGACCCAACCAAGTTGGGTGCTTCTCTACCACTATATAGTACAGACATAGGGCCTTTAAGAGCACGGTTGGCATTGACTGCATTGTTTTATCTTTTTCTCAGGGACTATTTAGTCTTACACTAAATGAACGTTTCAGTATAAATGGCGGTTTTCTGGGTGAGTAGTTTCTGGAAATGCAATGGGAATTTCAGTCTCTGAGAGGAGTGGACAGTGGCCCACTCCTGATCGGCAGTCTGCCCACCTTTGGATCCTGTGACACTGTATTTTTCACCTCTTTCAGGTGTCCTAGAATGGATTTTGGGAAAGAAAGATGCCGAATGGATAGGATTTATCACTAGATCAGTTCTGGAAAATAGCACAAGGTGAAGTGATTTGTTGCTTTATTTTCAAATAGTTATGTTAAATAACATATTAAAAACAGAAGTCTTTCCCAAACCACATCCAGCTCAGTTTTAAAAATGAAACTCAAACCAGCAACTCAAGCAGAAATTTTTAAAATTAAGCATTCTAGTGATACAATCCAAAGCAAAGAGAAATTAATTTTAATCTTAATAAGGTAAGGGATGACAGATTTTGTCTTTGATTAAACCATTATATTTCCATAAGAGTAGAAAAATGTGTATGTACAGTAAAAATACCACTGTTCCTAAGTGTCTTGACTTCTTTGCTGTGGTCTTGAATGTGAGTTGAGCTGATGCAGGCAGCATTGGCCTTGCATGATGTGGCAACAGGAGCAATGCCAAGTTTGCATGTTGTGCACCCAGGCTCCGGTGAAGCCACACAGTGCGATTGGTGAGCACTGCCAGTGGCGCCTCAGAGTCATACCATTTGATTTGTTTTGTTTTGTTTTGAGACAGGGTCTCCCTGTGGCTCTAGCTGGCCCAGAACTTGCTGTGTAGGCCAGGTTAGCCTCAAACTCACAGAGATCTGCCTGCCCCTGGTGGGATAAAAGGAGTGTGCCACCACACCTGGCTTCCCAAATTTGATTTTGAACTAATTTTTGGTCATTGTGCATTCAGAAAAAAATTGCTTTTTTTTTTTTTTTTTTTTTTTTTGTGACCACCGCATTCTGTTAAATGACCTCCTAAGGGGCCTTAGACACCTTTTCCCCTTAATTTCCACAGGTGAAACATGTCCATTCCAAATCAACTAAAAATATTTATTTTGTAAAAAATGTTTCTGTGTAGCTATGAAGAAGCCAAGAATATACTGACGAAGACCAAGCTAATGGCTCCAGCATATTTTATCCTGGGAGGCAACCAGTCTGGAGAAGGTTGTGTGATTACAAGAGAAAGAAAAGGGTCTTTGGATGTATATGAGTGAGTATGTTTGATAAGCAAAATAAGTAAAAACAGACGCCCAGACGGACATATGTACAGGCTTAAGGCATGAAACCTAAGAGGGAATCTCTTTTTGTATCTAGACTAGATCCTAAACACGACAGATGGTATGTGGTGCAAACCAATTATGACCGATGGAAAAACACCTTGTTTATTGATGATCGCAGAACACCTGCAAAGATGTGTCTTAACCGCACAAAACAGGAGGTACATTTGCTTTGTCACATATAGAAAGACACTGTCTCCATTAAGGGTTATCTTTGTTCTTGCATTTTTCTTTGGCCTCAAAGAATTTATAAACCTCATGTTATTCAGTAGTATCCCAGACCTCAGTGAGCTGTTAACTTAAGGAACAAATTTTGGCTGTAATTTTCCTTTCTTACACTAATGCTGGATATCATTCTGTGAAGTTAAATAAAATTTCAAAAGAGGAGGAGGAGAAAGAAAAATAATACATTAAAATGGCCACATCTGTTTAGCAGTTCCCAAGGGATATGCCTTTAGGGAGATTGACTGAAGAATGCTTTGGTTTGAAATAACTAATTTGTATATATAAATGCTACTGAAGTTTAACTTACTGAACAAATTTTTTTTTCTTAGAATCTCTCATTTGCAACCATGTATGATGTCCTGTCAACAAAACCTGTCCTTAACAAGGTATTTACGTGCGCGCACACACACACACACACACACACACACACACACACACACACACGTATTTGCTTTAGGGAAAGAATTTGGTTGTATGTTTTATATTCCTCTGTTACCTTAGATCACTTTGAGCATAGACATTATGTTCAACTTAAAGGTTCATTTATTTATCTATCTACTTAGTTGTTAATTTAGTCATTCCCTTTTTTCTTTCCTTTTTTTTCTCTTTTTTTTTTTTTTTGAGATAGGGTCTCTCTGTTCCTGGCAGGCCTGGAACTCACTGTGTAGCCCTGGCAGGACCCAGATTTGCAGCAGTCCTCCCGCCTCTGCTTCCTGAGTGCCAGGATTACAGACATGTACCACTATACTCAGCTTTAAAGACCACTTTTTGAAAAATATTTTAATGCATCTAAACCACGTTAGGAATACAAGAAAGAGATCACTTGGTTTACTGTCCAAATTGTTCAGTGTTGTTTTCAGCTTTACTTACATGACATTTGAATTAAATCTAGTCTTGTGCTCTTGACTTTTCCCTGTCAGCAATCTCACACTATGTTGTTTGACCAACACCTAAGACTTGACTAAACCAAGTGTGAAGTCCATTTCCAGGCAGAGCTCTGTGTCTTAGCCTTTAGGGTTTCTCCTTAACTCTTTTGTACCTTTTGTCTTTCCCTGCACTGTAACTGAGAAATGCAGAACGTTCCTAATCACTCCACTTGCTTAGAGTCATTCTTGTGTGTTCTGTATATATTGCCCCTCACTGTTCATGTCTTTCTTCTCCCTCTTGCCTGACTTTCCCTAAAACAAACATGCCTCCGTTACCTCTGCCAGAACAAAGCACTCCTTCCTTTTAGCATTGGAAACAAAACCTGGCTCCCACTAGGGGAGCCTTCCTTGATTCATCTCACTCTCTGCCATGCTTTTCATTTTGCCCTTCTAAGTCCATGTAGGTTCTCAGTGGGGTCAATTACATGGTCTGCATGGCCCTGTGTATTTGGGATGTGCTTTGTACTCTGTGTGCCTGCAGTTTTCTCACTGTAATGGAAATGCTCTGAGGATGAACATAGCCAAAACTTAAACTGTTTCTGCTCGTACTGTTTCCTTAGGCTTTGCGTGTCTGCCAGTTACACACTAGGGGGAGTTAAATGAATCTTTAATCATTGGTGGTGAAGCAATATACTGCTGCTTGTAATAAGCTCTTAAAGAATTGAAGATTCTCCCACACCTATTAATAGTTCTGAATTGGAATGGTGGTTTGTTTGATGTTGGTTACTTTAAAGATTCCAGTATTAATACTCTGTATGATTATATAATGTTAGTTGATTAATATTAAATAACTTTATAAAGCAAATTCTTGGGGAACACAAATGCTAATTAATAAGTGCAAAAGCTTAGAATTGAAAATATCTTTAAAATGAAAATAACTTTTTTTGCAGTTGACTGTATTCACGACCTTGATTGACGTTACCAAAGGTCAAATGGAAAGTCACCTGCGGGATTGTCCAGACCCTTGTATAGGCTGGTGAGCACACATCCAGCTCCAGGACATGCCGAAGCGATCTGAATATGGGCTCTCCAGCATGGTTGACCAGTGCATCTGTCTGATCTCCTTCCAAAGGCTTCCAAGGCCTGCTGTCTCTTGAGTCATGAGATTGTCCTTCTCAATGTGTTTACAGTTTACAGACTGTTTTTGTCATTTTTGTCATTAACATCAATTCCGTTTTTTTTTTTTTTTTTTTTTGGTCTTTTTGAGACAGGGTCTCCCTGTAGCTCCAGCTGCCTGGAACTCGCTCTGTAGATCAGGCTGGCCTCGAACTCACAGAGATCTGCCTGCTTCTGCCTCCCGAGTGCTGGGATTAAAGGCGTGCGCCACCATGCCCGGCTTCAATTCCTAATTATAGATAAACTCATTAAGTGAAGACAAACAGTCATGTAGACTCCGCCAAGCTTCATTTGACTTTGACATTGGATAAGGGGTAACGTGGACTTAAATAAATCAAGGTTCTCTGCTGGTGTGTAATCCAGTCCCCTGTGGGAGTAATGTACACATTCCAAATTATTCAGGTTTTCATCTTTACCTAGTTTTTTTTTTTTTCTGTATGTCTTTTCCTTCTGGTTTTTATTAAAATCAGCATACCATTCATTACCTTTGCTGCTAATGGCTGCAATATAATTTCACTATGCTTGGCTGGAGTTCCTGACATGATCATTTGGTATTTATTTTAACAGGCAATAAAACCTTTGACTCTGGAAATAGAATTTTGGGGATTCATTAAGTAATAGTATATAAGCAGACTTTTATGTGAAGAATTACATATTCTGCCTCCCAGTAACCCTAGGAAGTTATTAACTTCAAAAACTCAAGTTCCAGATTCTGCAGATTAGTAAATAAACTCAAAAATAGAAAGTAAACTCATTAAATTCTTATATGCATCATTCATTAATAAATAGGTTTTTCATTTTTCCTTCTAATCATATATTTTTTTAACTTTTGTACAGTAATTAATAACAATGTCCTTCAGAAATCAATTTATGAAAAGTGCTAACAGAACTTGTTAATCTCCCTAACTTTCACAGTTGACTGTGAAATGTATGCCATTTGTGCAAGGCTGTTCACTTCATTTTGTACAATCTCAGTTGTATTGTGATGCTCAATAAACAGTCACTGGCAGTCTTGTAAGCACTCATGCATGCTGACTGGGTGTGTGCCTGTGTTGGTTTGAGGGTGGGGGATTATTATCAAGAGATACATGCTGAACATAATATCTAGATTAAATAGCAAGGGTTATGCAAGTGGATTACCAAACACATGACTAAATGGTCACAGTCTGACATGACTAATACCACTTCTTAACCTAGTAGTGTCGACCCAGTTTGCAAGTATGCAAAGGCAACTTTTTCCCCAGAGATCACAGACAGGTACTTCCGTAAAACAATAGCCTCTCAAGGATTTTAGAGAAAGAGCAGGATTTTAAAAGAGGATTTGTGTTAAAATAGGATTCAAAGCTGGGCATGGTGGTACATATCTATAATCCCAACAGTTGAGAAATGTCAACAGAAAAGTCAAGGCCAGCCTTGACTACATATTGGCCTTAAGCTTATCCTGGGATACATGAGGCAGTCTCTAAAAACAAAAAGTAAAAATAGAGTAAGATTCAGTTAATGATAAAAAAAAAAAAACTTCCTATTTTGACCTCATAAGGATGAAATAAGGTAAAGCTGATATATTTAATGCAGTAGCCTTTGGTATGCATAATGGGGCATTCTGATCACTACAGACTGATTACTTAGGAGTAAGCCAATGACTTGGGAGGAATAACTGTCATTAAAATTTTGGTAGCACTGTTTAGTTGTGAAGCAGTTTGTAAGAGTATATGTAGTACAAATTTATGTAACATTTGGTACAGGTGCTTACACATGACTAAATATATAGCTAGAATATAATGGTGAATTAGGAGATGTTAATGAAAATGTTAACTAGTTTTCCTCTGGTTAATGATCTGAGTTATTTTTAACTTTCAGTAGCCATAGACATTGTGATATATTTTTTAGAAATACTTGACAAAATGTCAGTTAACACAAAAATGTTCAGGTTGGAGCCAAGTGATCGGAGGCAACTTACCTGCTTAATTTTAGTAGTAGTATTTTTTTGTTTTGTTTTGAGACAAGGTCTTGCTGTGGAGTTCTGGCTGGCCTCAAACTTGTGGTGATCCTCTTACCTTAAGAATATGGTTTGAAATGGAGTCCCACACTTGTCTAGTATGCATGAGGCCCTAGGTTTAATCCCCAGTACCAAAATGAATAAAATAAGGGGCTGGAGACATGACTCAGCTATTGAAAGCACTTGTTGCTTTTGCAGGGGACTGGGGTTTGGTTCCCAGTCCCCACATAGCTGCTAAAAGCCACCTATAATTCTAGTTCTAGGGCATCTGACACCTGGCCTCTGCAGAGGTACTTGCAAGCAAACACATACATAAAAATCTATTTTTAAAAGTAAGATTGCACTCTAGGATAACTCACATTGATAATCAGTATCACTTACCCAGTACTCACTTTGACCAGGCTTTGCATGCAATGGCTTTTTTTCTTAACAAACCCGTTACGCTTGAAGTCCCACTTACTTGCCAGTGATAAGAGTAGGCTAAGTGAGTTGCTTGGCTACACTAACAGGAGAGGTGAGAGCTGGGATTTGAGCCAGAGGTATCCAGTGTTTGTGCTTTTATCTTGACAGTGTATTTCCTAACTTTACAAGCAGCACAATAAGCAGTGCTGATATGGGAGGCTGCAAGCCGCCATGGGTGTGCCATCACTTTAGCTCTGCCATCAGCTGGTTCTCTGTAAAACACTTGTGCTTTCATAGGAATCAGAAACCTTTTGAGATCAAGAACTGGGGATGACGTGCTCAGCTTACAGGTGGTTTGTTCATCACTGCTACTCCATGCCCAAGTTGTGTTCAGCTTTGGGAACTGACTTAAAGAATCTCAGGTTTTCTGTAGCTGTAACCCAGCACTGCATCAAAAACATGAAGTCCTCAAAGTTTCTAAATCACTGAATGGAAGCACTCAGGCAATTGTTACTGTAGACTATGTGAATCTTCATTAGTTGAGGAAAATTTACTGTTATTCATCAGCTTAGCATTGTGTGTATCAGATGTGACCAGCAGGACCTAGACTTCCTCAGGCTGTATACTAATTCCATCAAGCCAGAAGGGTGTGGCTGGCCCTGAGTCATCAACACAGCAACTTGTGTAGTGTTGCCAGCTCACACAAGATCAGTGCATTTTCCCTTGGGGATGCCTTCCCTCTTGGATTGAGAAAGCAGGGTTTCCCAGCCAGATGCCATGGGGCAGACTGGTTTACTTGGGCAATTTTCCATGGCATTTCTACGTATCTTTTGTAAATTTTGTATCAGACCCTACAAAGATACCTGTCTAGGCAGAGAGCAGATTTATTTCCTGACTAGAATAATAAAGATTATTGTCTACCTACAGGGCAAAAGTTGGTCACACTGACTTAAGTAAAGCAGCTCTTCATGTATTTCTGGTAGTTTCCTAAGCTTGAGATGCCAGAATAATGATACAGATTGTTAGGGAAAGAGGAATTTACTGCTTGTTTGAATATACTGCTTGTTTAAATTTACTGCTTGTAACCAATTAACTCAACTAGAGACAGGCATCCGAAGATAGAGGCAAAGTGCTATAACCCCCAAAGCCTGACCTGTTCTGTGTCATGTCATGTCTGCTTACACAAGATAACAAGAAAGAGTTGTACCAGGCACATACCAAGCATCTCTTCCCAATTGAGACACCTGAAGGGAGCTATGACATTTTTTCTTGTTTTAAAGTTATTGGTTTGTGAAATGCTTGCTTTGAAACTATTGGCTGTATAAACGCGGGCTTTTGTGTAACGGTTGTGGAAGCCTATATAATCTTTACCTAAAATTGTCTCAGGGTCGATTGCTCTAACCAGACCGGCGTGTTCTGGAAAGGACAGTCGATCCCAGCTAGCTGGTTTACTAAAACTCTGTTTGATTTTTGCATCTCCGTACTCTTGTATTTGTTCTTCAGAAGAGACCCATGGAGTCACGGACCCTAACACAGATCATGTGGTATACAGAATCCACTTGGCCTATCTTGTATTATCTTGTTGGGGGACTTTGGAGGGCAAGTGGAACAGATGCAGACATGAAGCTCATGCTTAACTCTGGTGTGCCAGAGTAAGAAGGTTCTCACCTATGACCAAGGACTCTACCATTATCCATCAGGCTATGGCAGGGCAGCTGGTTAACTTGCAAATAGGGTAACATAGCAGACTATTCATAGTTCTTGAACTCATGTTGTACCTTGACTAGAGATGTTCTGTGAGATACTGATCCCTCAGCCTGTACAGCAGGTTGAGCAAGGTCCTGGGAATTCAAGCCCCTGGGACAGCTGTCTCCCTCTGAGGCTTCCTGAAAGGTAGGATGAACTGCATACTGCAGTTTTCCAGGGTCTCACCAGACTTGGGAAGGAGGAGCAGTATGCAAGACATGAAGCAAGTAGATGCAAATCGCTGTCCCTGTAGACAGAAGGGGCTGGAGCCAACTAGGCTTTGTGTAGTAATAATGCTACATAAACATATCTAGCTTTCAGACACCATTATCCCCCCCACACACAATTTTTCTATGAGGACCGCAACCTACTTTGTAGTCCTTGATCTTACCGGTAGCAATGATACCCAAAACCTTCCCTAGAAAAGCTGAACAAGACCAAGCAGGTGTCTGAGCAGCTGGTTTTCTGCAGAAGGCATTGCTGTCCAAGAGAATGAGCGTCCATGGAGTAGCCAGAAGAGTATGTTCCAGGTACTAAGGAGCCCAGCACACAGCACCTTTGCAGAGGTGAGTGGGAGGTGCAGAGGCATTGTGGGCTCTTTGTAGATTCAGCTTTATATACAACTGGAGGCAGCGGGTGGCCCTGACTATTCCAACAATGAATCTGTGAAGTAGGGGATCATTGCTTGGTAATAATAGGAAAATGTATTTTTTAGTGTTTCATTTATTAATAAAAGGATAAAAAGCTATTGGTATTTATATAATTTCAGTCTTTGAAATTGCCTGAATGCCTGTAAAATGCTACCTTAAATTTATCACCCACGGTTGGAGGTGTGCTTAGTGGTAAAACATTTGCCTAGCATGTGTGAGGCCCTGTGTTCAATCCCTGGCAC